TTGGTCCGCCCGAACTGGGCCTTCAACCCACTTGGTCCACTCTCTGAGTCTACAGTATGACTGGTCCGCCCGCACCGGGCCTTCAGTCGGTCTGGTCCACTCTCCGAGCCTCGGATACAGCCTATCCGGACCGCTCGCTGGGCCTTCGGGATAACCGGTCCACCTTGGGTATGTTGGCCTACAGCACAAAGCAGGACCCGCCTCAACCCATCCCCAGTCCAACAACCATGTGCACATAAACATACAATCATATAACAATTCACATCCAAACACACCGATCGAGCAGATCACATAACATAACATCATCCTAACCAGGATACTGACCTAATCGGGTCTCTAACATATACCACCCTAACTACCAGGATGCAAACATAGCAAAGCAATAACATAACAACAATACTCGGATTACAATCCGATAAAGGGTCAACCTTGGTGCCTTAGACCTTGTTGATATAGTGAGGATAACTCACCTAGCAACTACCGAAATTCTGAACTAAAGAAGCAGATTCTAGAATCACCGACTCACCGAAAATCCCCGAACTATTCGAAGCAGCAAAACAATCATTAGTCCAAGCACAATATCCTTCCAAGGGTAAATTGACCATTTTACCCTTAACCCGAACTGGTCCATGACTAAGGCCCAACACCAGAATATGAAGGGCCCAACACTAGGTAAGCTTCTCAAGCCCACTAGTGACCCACTAATGGCCCAATTTGGCTACATTAGGCCCAATCCCTTAATGGACCTCATCCTAATCCCACAATATATTTCTTGGTCCATATAATATGATTTCTGATGGCCCACTAAGGCCCAAAGACCCAAAGTCTAAGGCGCAACCCACACTGAGGCCCAAATACTCAAGGCCTAACTGACAACGTTACTCCGGGCGTAACTCAATGTACGCTCAACGTACCAGCTCCATGATGAGTACGCTGGGCGTACCTACACGTAGCTCAGCGTAGTGCTCTGATAAGTCATTTCCTTATTAAGTTCTTACTACTCCATTCCAAGGGCTACAAACTCAGATCCAGGTCTTATTTCATGACTTAAACCATAAAGTCATTGACTTGGTGACCTAATATGGCTCAAACCAACTCAAACTTCCGAAATGACCTTCTACATCCAAGAAGAGGACTAGATCTCATGCATGGGCTTAATAGAACCCCAAAGGTTGGAACTTTACTGCTTATGGGACTCATATGACTCTAAGGGAGGCAACCCTGGTCTTCGAAACGAGCTTAACCCACCAAGACCCAAACTTAGGACCAAAAGGTCCATAAACTTGTACTAGAGGAGATCTAAGAGATTAATCATCAAGATCAAGACTTTTTACCTTGCAGAGGTCCGAAATGAAGCACTTATCCCAGATCTACAAGCTCTAGCTTCAAAGGTTCCTCCTTGCCAACCTTCTTCTCTCTGCTTCCAAGCTTTAATCCACCAAAATGGGTTCTCCAAGGTCAAACACACCCAACACTGGAGGTGGGACGACTATCAAGGGTTTTCTGAGGATAAGAGAGTGTCTATGGAGGGTAGGGTGAGAACCATTATGTTCCATTTATAGTGGATGTCCCAAAAATTAGGGTTAAATGACTCTTAGCGTATGCTGAGCGTAACTCTAGTATGTTGGGCGTACGCGTCTTGGTACCCGCGATCACTCACCCTACTACGCTAGATGTAACCCAGCTTACGCTGGGCGTACCCACGCGTGTCTCCAAACACATGTATGTTCTTTTTCATCACTTTTTCCATCAAGGGACATACATGCCAATATCTTTGAAGCATCATAACTCCTTCATTCTAGATCCGTTTACGACGAACTTTATATCCACGCGAAGGTAGCGAGAAGCCTTAAGCTTCTATCAACATACACCGGTCCGAAACCTTCTCGAATACAACCCACTACCCTTAAAGGACCAAAACGCCCTTACTCTTGATCCTGGGGATCCATGAATCGTTATTCTTTGAACGGGGCGTTACAGAAGTGTTCAAGCACCACCGACTGCACAAAATTTAGGAACATCTAGTTCAACCTCTACTATAGAAGAACAAACAACAAGGCTAAAAAAACATTAAGAAGCGTTGTATGAGAGAGATGAGAGGTGCTTTGCCACCTGTTGTTTACAACTATATCTGTGGTTGTAAAACTATAAAAGAGATCTGGAATACTCTCAAAAACAATTTATGTGACAAACACTTACCACAAAAGGGAAAATGACATAAAAATGTAACAAAATTTTAAAATGTACAAAAAAGATCATTGTTGTTTTTTTAGTACATTAAATACCATTAAACCAAGTATTATAGATTACCATCATGTTATGCGGAATTTCAAAAATGTTCAAAAAAATATCATTGAAGGTTTTTAGGATAAAAAATACCATTAAAATATACTATTTGTAAACAGAATACCAAAGAAATATACATGTGTTCAAATAAAACCTTATGGAACCGGTTCCCTCAGGTAAATAGAAAATAACTTAAAAGTGTAATTAAGTTTCCAAAATGTTCAAAATATACAACATTTTTTGTTAACTTCGTTGTTGCTGGATTATGTAGAACACAGTTACATGAGATCATGCACCGTCATATCAGTTCACATGTAACATACACATACAATTATCGTGTTTTGTTAGTTTAAAAGTGATTATTATATAATTATATAATTTTGAGCGTTGCGTTCTAACAAGATAGTCTTTACGAGAATTGAAGTAAAACTATGTTTAGAATCATTCAGAAAGTGATAGGAAGTCTTATGAGATTCCGATCAAAATGTCAAATATTGAAATTAATGAAAATGTAAAATTTAAGTTGGAAATAAGTAAAAATTAATGTTATTGAAAGTTGTAAATTATCTCGTTAGAAATATTTAGACGAAAACATCACTAAAATCCGAGTTATAACGAAGAAGTTATGACTTATCGAAATTTCACGATGAAACCGGCACAACGTTATATGACGTAAAAAGTGAGTTTACGATAAACTACTTTTTAGCCTTTATGATCTAAATGAAAGTGAGTTTACGATAAACGATATTTTAGCATATTGTTTGTTTTTGTTGCGTACTTGGTCATTGTCTTAACTAAAAAGAGTATTGTGCCCTTATTAATTTATTTTTTAATTAATTTTCTTATTTATGTATTTATTTTTTATATATTAAAAAAAATTTAATTTAATAGGCCCTACATATTTGTATCTCCTTACCTTAAACCTAAAACCATATTTGAAAATTTTTAATCTGGTCTCCACCGGTCACCGTCCCATCTTTCATCTTCCTCAACTTCTATTTCCTTTCCATCTTTAATGACTTCGACGTCTACAACATCATTTTTTTCCGTCCTTCAATTCTAGCGAACCAACACCACAACCTAGCACCACAACCCATTGTTTCTTCATCTTTAGTGCATTGTGTTATTGGCTCGCCAGAGTTAATGAACCAAAAAAAAAAAAAGAGATTGTGAATACGTCGATATCACTAAAGATAAAAACAAAATAGAAGTTGAGGAGGATGAAAGATTAGATGGTGACCGGTGGGATTCAGATTAAATTTCTCAAATATTGTTTCAGGTTTACGATGTAGAGAGATATAGATATATATGGTCTACTAATTTTTAAAAAAATATAAAAAATAAATACATAAATAAGAAAATTAATAAAAAAAATAAATTAATAAGGACACAATATTCTTTTTAGGTAAGATAGGGATAAGCACGCAACAAAGTAAACAGTAGGGATTATCCAAGTTAAAAAAAATAAGTTAGAGACCAAACATACAAATCCCCCCAACCTGTAGGGACCATTTGTGTAATTTGCTCTTACTTTTCGTTGTTCATATTTGGATAACTATTTTTTTTACACATTTAAGTAATAAACTTGTTGGAAGTGTTCACATATGATGATTATGACCTGCTATAGCATGTCATACAAGCAGATTATAATTGTCATATGTGAACACTTGTAATAAGTACGTTACTTAGATGTGTACAAAAAACATAGTTTTCCAGATGTGAACAACTCAAAAGTTAATTACTTTAATAAATAATATTCCTAATTTTCTGAAGGAACAATTTTAATGTTCTTTAAATGTTCTTAATTTTAATATTCATAAAATTACATAGTAATAATTGAATTTTTAAGATTTTTATAACCTAGTAATAATAATAGAATATCCATCTCAAGGCCAAAACAAATATTAATGACTAAAATGTTACGTGGGATGCCACAACTTTTTATGACCGGTAATTACAAGTCAATTTTTTTAATAGGTAAAAATTGATTTTATGTCCATAAAATACAAAAAAGAAAAAAAAAAAAAAAAAACATGAAGACTATTTATTGGTTGGGCTAGCTACAATAACATTAACCCCTCGTAAAGTATCCATTACCATTTTTTGGTTTTTTGTTTTGTTTTGTTTATTATTATTATTTTTTTGTTGTTTTTATTTGGTTTTTTTTATTTATTAGTATTATTATTTTTGGTCAGTTTTTGGTGGGTTGAGTTATTTATGATTTTACAAATAGATTTTTTTCTTCGATCTTTGATTGATCTTCTTAACATTATTCCTTCCTTCTCCCTTTAGATAATCGGCATCTTTTCATGTCCACGAGAAAAAAAATGTAGGATTGTTGCCTAGATCTTATAAAATCAAAAAGGTTTCGGGTGGAGTATAACCATTTATCCCATCAATGTTTTATGCATCCTGGTTTTCACTATTTCGTTTTTTTTTTTTTTTTTTTTTTTTTTTTTTTTTTTTTTTTTGTACTTCCTGTCTTTTGCATTAGGTACTCACAAAAACTTTTCCTTATCTGTACATTTAAAAAAAAATCGATTTAAATTAAAGAAGCAAACCACCGGTTTAAGTTATAAAACCGGTCCAACTTTAAAGTTGAAATAATTGCTGGTGTAGTTATTGCATGGTGGCAATTAGAGATGATATTTCTCTATAAATAAAATAGAAGTCTCGAAGTACACACATCTACTCCAACCTTCTTCTCTTTCACAAAATTCATCAATGGCTACAACTCCAGGATTTCTCACTGACTGGCCTTGGAAACCACTTGGAAGTTTCAAGGTACAACCCTCCATATTTGGTTTTTGGGTTTGTTACAATTTGTTTATAACTATTAATCTTCAATAATAATATTATTTCGATGTTTAAATGGAATTTACTTTTTCCACTTTTGTTTGAAATATAACATTTAGAAAGTAGAAACGAGATTTCGAAAGAATATATAAAAACCATTAATTATATTCTATTTTAGAATTTCATAATGTAAGTTATCCAAGTTTAATATTTATCTTTATGTCATTTTGACATGCTATGACCTGTTATAACAAGTTAAAGTGGTTATAATAGATTTTTTCTCCAAATTTAATTGCTTTAATGGAATATATTGTCAAAATTTAGGGTAAAAGTTTCAACTAAAACTCTTAAATTTGACAAAAAAAACATAATATTGTGACATCTTGCAGTTGGTCGAGCAGGTTGGCAAATCAAAAGTGAACATAGTAAAAATATAAACTTAGATGGCTTTTCTTAACATCAAGTTTAAACTATAAAAATAGATAATATATTATGATTTATTATTTGTCCAAGAAACTAAGGCAACTCTCTTCAACTATTCAAAAAGTTTTGCCAACTATTTTTCTGGAAAGCTTGTTTCTTATTCACAAGTTTATATATTTTTTTTTTCAACTAAATCACAATAATTATGGAATTACAAATAAAATATTAAATGTTCAATTTGATGGACAGAAGTATACCAACTTTTTTTTTGAACAGCAGAAAGTATCATAAAAACTAAAAAAATGCCAGTGGGAAGCAGTGGGAAGCTGGACAAAGTACAACACTGTCCATATTACAAGAAAACAAAATGCCAACAGAACTAAAAACGTTAAATAAGAAAATGAGATAACACCAAAAGGTTAAAATTTTGAAGAGCATTAAATTAGACGACTAAGACGAGCATCAAAACTTTGAAGCTAAAATTTAGAATAGCATCCCAGAAGTACCTCTAACTTCTGGGGAACACTTTCTTGTTTTTTCGTTAATATTTACATACAAAGGTAAGTATGTTTAAAATGACGTATTTATTTTTATGTTACAAAATAATAATTACATTTAATTGATAAACAAAAAACATTAATTTTATGTGAAAGCAAGAAATTTTGATTACTTTGTTTGAAGTTAAAACATAGTTTCATATTTTCGTTAACATATTAATGGCTCCAATATTTACGAGCTTGCTAAACTATCTCTCATCTCTCATGCATACTGGATGATGCTAAATGGATCCTTTTTGAATTAAGTAATATATGTGTTGGTCCCACATTATATTATATGTTGTGGGAATATATGTGTTGGGAAAATGGATGCATTTAAAATATCACTAGATATTTAATTTAGTTTATATTATTAATAATTTAAATAGGATATATATTATTTTCTTCGGCTCCAGATCTCTTTTCTATTTTCGTAATTGATGGTTATGGGTCAGTTATATATATATATATATATATATATATATATATATATATATATATATATATATATATATATATATATATATATATATATATATATATATATATCAGATGAGAAACAAATATACTAAGTATTATAATTTATATAATTTTTCAATAAAAAATTATAATCATATATATATATATATATATATATATATATATATATATATATATATATATATATATATATATATATATTATTTTGATGCCATAAATTTTTATAAGATATGAGGCGTAATTTAAAATACTTTTTTGGAAATCAAAATATATAAAACAACTAGAATAATGACAAAAATGACAAAACAATACCAAAAAAATTAATTTTAATTAATTTCTAACTTTTTTCCAAAAAAAAAAATAAAATATTAACAATATATTTAGAAAACAAAAAGATCTACGTTCAAATATTCCGAACATAAAGTTCTTCATGAATTTTTTCATAATAATTTTATGTGCAATAAATTTGTTCATGATACTTTTGTTTGAATAACTATATGTATAGTATATTTTATTAGAATATTCTAAAAGATTTTAAAAAGTCTTTACATACGAAAAATACGAGTAATATGCATGTAAAACATGATAATTTTCTGTTTATTTTGCATTTTAAAATATGTTTATTGATATTAAAAATGATTGACTATGAGTTTGTTTTAATGTCTAACATTTTTTTTATTTGAATCTAACAAAATATATATATATATATATATATATATATATATATATATATATATATATATATATATATATATATATATATATATATATATATATATATTGCCGACAAGAAAAAATGGCCACCATATATCCTTGAAGTTGGCTTTTCATTATGTTTATTTTAAAAGTGGCCCACCATCAATTGTTTGCAAGGATTGCAACAGTTGAAATAACAAACTGTTACAATTTGAAAGAATTGTAAACCCACTGTTGTGGGGTGGTCTTAGTTTTAACAATAATGAAGTATTTCAACTTAATATAATATCCAAAAAAACTTTACATTATATTGAAGAGATTTTGAAATAAAATAACTTATATAATAACTTTTTATGATTTTATTGTTAATGTCAGATTAATATATTTGGTAGAGATTTTGCCTTTTTAAGTTTAAATTTCGAGTTTTAATCTAAACATTAGTGAATTCTACTAACTTGATGATATTAATTTTTAACTAATAACCAACCGTGAAAAAAAACTCTCCCATTGTAATCTTCCAAGTTCAGTCTTATGTTGATTTATTTTCAGTCTAGGCAAGTTGTTTGTAGATATTCATGGGTACATATATGTGTTTTTTGTTTTTTATTCCCAAAAAATAATTCTTTTTTATTATGGCATAAATACATGTACATGTTAACAATGAGTTTTCTTTTTACTATTGAGCACTAGTCTAAATACTGGATACTGCCGGTTGGGAGAAATAACGTCAGATCAGCAAAATTTATGTGGGATAAAGTGTACATCATTTTTCAACTAGTTTTCCATAAGAAAGTGTGTAGCGATTCTAATCTTTTTATTGGTTTCTTATGGATTTTTCTCTTTTTTCACTTCACCGGTTACATAGTGTTTTTAGTTGTTCAGTCGACCGGTATCCAACATTTTGATTGTATCCGATCTGATCGGATCAAAGCAAACCAATTTCAATAAACCTAATTTTCAAACAAACAAATTTTAGATCGATTAAATCCTGATACACATTGGATAACCAAACAAGTTTGCATAAAATATATTTGGTATGGTATTGATATCAAATTCTTTTCTAAGGTACATGGTTAATTTGGGTAAAAAATAAAATTAGTATCGTATCATGTTCACCTGAAAAACATAGATACTAATTATATTTGTGTCCTTCTATTCCCATCAAGTATATTTGTTTAATTATACTCTTATACATATGACTATATATATTATGTGTGTGTGATCATTATATAATATTTTTTGTTCTAATTTTATTATTTTTGTTGGATGATGTCAAAGTATGTGGTATGGGCACCATGGGTGGTGAAGAGTACATATGATTTCATCACATCGGATGCAAAAGATAGAGATTATGGCCTTATGTTGATCTTTCCCTTCATGTTGTTCCGAATGCTCAACAATCAGTTTTGGATTTCACTCTCTCGTTACAAAACCGCCAAAGGCAAAAACAGAATTGTTAACAAGACCATTGAGTTTGACCAAGTCGACCGCGAAAGAGATTGGTATGTTCTCTCTCCCTCTCTCTCTCTCTCTTTCTCTTTTTTTATATATATATATATATATATATATATAATATATATATATATATATATATATATATATATATATATATATATAAATTGTTAGAGAATACATCGTGAAGTTATGAGTTACACTTGTTACTATAAGTTTTTGATGAGTTCCCTAATGATTATACGAATGGATCGAAAAAAATGTACAAGTTACCAATTTGCCCTTCTAATGGCCTTAAGATTCTACGGATTCACGATGATATACACCATGTAGTATCGATAGGTTCTATGGTCAATCCTGCCTTTAAAATGCAATAAAAGTATAAAAACACTTATTCCTTAAGAAAACAAAAGCAATAAAGTAAAAATGCGAAAAATACCTTTTTAACATATATTCTGTGTTGCTACAAAAGCTTGGAGATAGGGTTAAGAGTGGAAAGCCAAATAAATTGTGAATTAATTAAAATTTCACTTTCTCTTGCAGGGATGATCAAATACTATTCAACGGGTTATTGTACTATATCGGATTTTATTCATTAGATGAATCCAAACAATTGCCTTTTTGGAGATTAGATGGAGTGATCATTGTAACTTTGCTACACATGGGAGTCGTAGAGTTTCTTTATTATTGGCTACACAGAGCACTCCACCACCATTACCTCTACAATCGCTATCATTCTCACCATCATTCTTCAATCGTCACCGAACCAATAACATGTAAATCATATCTCTACCATCTTCTTGCATTAGGGGCATTTTTGTCATTTTGCTCACAACTTTAGGAAAAATCTCACCAAAAATTTCTTAAATAATCACGGGTCCATCACATGCAAATCACTGCCTATTAATGTTGATGTCTCTCATTTGACTTGCAAAGTCATAAAATAAGTGTAGTTTCGTCATTTTACTTGCATTGGTACATAAACATAAAGATTTCCTTAATCATATATCCACCCTAATTTACTACACATGATTAATGCATCCTTGTTTGTTGTCAATGGTCCCCGGATGTAGAATTGTTTTCTTTTAGGTATCTTTATTCACTCACATTAAATTGCTTCATATTTAATGGTCGTAAAGTTTGAAAGAACACCTTAACATGCAAATGTCCAAGTATTAATGCATGAAATACAATTGCTAATACAAATTGGCTTCTTCACTGATGCAGCTGTGATTCATCCATTTGGTGAACACATTGCCTACTTTACGCTCTTTGCAATACCATTGATGACCGTGACCCTAACCAAGACCGGGTCCATTGTTGCATTCGCTGGCTATGTTACCTACATTGATGTGATGAACAACTTGGGCCATTGCAACTTTGAGCTAATCCCCAAAATAGCCTTCTCAATCTTCCCCCCTCTCAAATACCTCATGTACACCCCTACGTAAGTATATATATATGCTCTCATGTCCAAATATATTATGTTCAGAAATTATTTTTATTTATATAATAATCGAAATATATGGAATTGGTGACCTTATCATCACACATATGTGTGTTATCCATGTGGTCAAGTGGAGAGGAACATGCATAATGGCATGTACACAACTTGAAGATCTTTCTTAATTTAGTCGATTGTGATAACCAAGATTTCCTAGTACTGAAAATTAAACTTTTTCAGGAGATGTATTAAAACACCATTTTAATTATATTTTAAAAATTCTTAAATATCTATATATCTTTGCTTATACATAGTGGAATGTCAACTTCCTTAGGAGATCACGTCATAATAACTTGATAGGTAATTGCCTTATGTGGTCATTTCTTAATAAGGAATTGTTTTTATAACAAATAATAACAAATTAGTTGCTTTCGATTTTCTACTTTTATGGCTTGTGATATATGTGTCCCATTATATAAATAGAAATTAAATATTTTCGTACTTACCATCTTGTGAAAGAATAACAAATTTTTTAAAATATTATTAATTATATAAAAATGTGACCACTTATGATATGAAAAAAAAGTAAACAAAAATAGAAAGAACAAAAATAAAAAGAAACAATAGAAATATCATATTTTAATATTCTCATTTCCTTTCTTGTTTTCTTGAGACCCTGAAAGTCATTTTAGAATAATTTATAAAATAGTCCTTACAGTATTATTTAGTTTCTATTTAGTCCAACCTTTTAAATATTGACTTTGAATTCAAATTTGATGTTGTCAAATAATTTTCCATGAATTGTTAATGTTAAATATTAATGTTGAACAATTACATGTTGGTAAAACAACACATGGTAAAAGAGATGTGTCTTTCTTTAATTAATTCTTTTTACTTTTAAAAAAAATATATTTATTAATTATAAGGGTAAAGTCATTTAAATTCTAACAATTTGCATCTAATAAACGATAACTTTATTAATTTCAATCATTTAAGTTAACAATTATAATAGTGTTATTTGGCGTTTTATAACAAAAATGTGTTTCCCTTCCTTAATTTGTCCACCGGAGATCCAGGTTTAATTATATTCTCTTTTAAAAAAATTCACAGGTCACAATGAACAGGATATAGACAATCCACCCATTTTGACCCCATATTTCAATCTAGTATTTTCATAAATTTTCCCTAAATTTTAATTTTAGATATGAATTTGGTCTAAGACTTTTTATTTATTTTTACAAATCTAACAATTTTTTTGTACAGTTTTGGCTAAACTTTTATACTTCGTTATGAATTTCGTCTAAACTATTTATTTTTTATTTATCTAGTTTTTTATGTATAAAAATTATAAGTTTCTTATAATCCTTTTACTTTTAGTAAGTTTTTTACAACTATTTTTGCATATTTTTACAATTTTGTTTGCATATTTTGTTTGTTAATAAGACCACTTTTGTCTGTATAGGTATCATTCTTTGCATCATACTCAATTCAGAACCAATTATTCCCTTTTCATGCCATTCTACGACTATATCTATGGTACACTCGACAAATCTACAGACATATTGTACGAAAAATCACTTAAGCAGGAAGATGAGTCACCAAATGTGGTACATTTAACACACCTAACAACTCCAGAATCCATCTACCACATAAGGCTTGGGTTTGCGTCGGTTGCTTCTAAGCCATACACATCTCCCAAATGGTATTTGCTCATGCTATGGCCTGTCACGATGGCATCAATGCTAATTACTTGGATTTATGGCAAAACCTTCGTAGTTGAAAGAAATGTTTTTAAAAATCTCATAATGCAAACGTGGGCCATACCAAAATACAAGATACAAGTACGTAGATGTATTTTTCTTTTTTTTTAATATTTATTCTTTTCTTATTATATATATATTTTGAAAGTAAAATGCTCAACTTTCTTGGAATTTCTTTGTAGTATTTCATGGAATGGCACAGAGAGAGTATCAATGAATTGATTGAAAATGCGATACTAGAAGCCGACGGAAAAGGGGCCAAAGTTGTAACTCTAGGTCTACTCAATCAGGTTTTAATTGCTTTTATTTTTATATATTTGAACTTATATATTGTTTTTGAGATTCATATCTAATATAATCCTATGTATTAATGAGTTGTAAAGTGTGGACAATCACTTCGTGAACTTTATACAACACCTTATTGTTTTTTTTTTTTGGTGTTTTTCATAAATATATATGCAGTTTCAAACTATTTCTAAAAATTCGTTGCTTCTATTACATGGATTCGATGGAAAACTATTATGACAATCATCCAAAATATATATATGCTTCATCATATGTATTTTGGATGATCCTCATACTGAAGTTATATGTATTGATAATATTTATAGGCGGAGGAGTTGAATGGAAGCGGGGAGCTATTCATAAGGAGAAATCCGAAACTAAAAGTGAAGCTGGTGGATGGTAGTAGCCTAGCAGTTGCTGTGGTTCTCAATAGCATACCCAAAGGCACCACTCAAGTCGTTATTAGGGGCAACTTCAATAAGGTTGCTTATTCCCTTGCCTTAGCTCTATGCCACAAGGGTATTCAGGTAATTTCGCTTTTAATGTCATCAACTTTGTTTTTGGTTCAAGTAACTTTGTAGTGATCATGGATTAGTAACTGTTTTTGGGTTCGAATTACACATTTTTTTTTTCAATCTTGGGGCAATGTTAAAAAAACAGTATAGTGAGATTTTATTTTAGGTTCAATTTCAATTTTCTCCAAAAGATTATCTTAATGTTGATTCAACGTGTTGTAGGTTTCAATATCTCGATCACACAACTATCAACGGCTTAAATCAGAGCTTGAATTGTCCGGTGATCAAGATAAATTGATTACTTCGAGAAGTTGGTCACAAAAAGTAAGTTGTAATTATTGAGTTTTCAAGTATTTTTTGATTACTAGTAAATGAAATAATAATATTAGATTTGAATTTTGTAAAGATACTATCTTTTAATTACTAATAAATAAAATAATGATATGTAAATTTGAATTTGATAAAGGTGTGGTTGGTGGGAGATGGGCTAAGCAAAGAAGAAGAGTTAAAGGCATCAAAGGGAACCCTAATCATCCCTTACTCTCAATTCCCTCCAAAGAGAGTGAACAAAGATTGTTTTTATTATACTACCCCTGCCATGTTGACTCCCAAACATCTTGAGAATGTTGACTCTTGTGAGGTTAGAACAAAATATATATATATATATATATATATATATATATATATATATATATATATATATATATATATATATATATATATATATATATATATATATATATAAATTTATTTACAATTGATCTTGAAACCAGAATCATTAGCTTCTTTTTTTATATGGCTCATTATGATCACTAGTGAATCATATCTATAATTCAAACTAATGTGTATCCAACTTAATTGAAATTATAAAATCAAAATGTTGAAATTTTTTGTGGTCGACATCAACATCTTACAATTGTTCACCACAAGTTTGCAAAGACCTAAACACATGTTATTTTTTATTATTATTTTTTTATGTGTTTTTGTGTGATATTTTTAGCTTGTTTTTTCATTTTTTTTCATTTTTATTCTCACACTACAGATAGTATATATTATACTATCGTATAACTTCCTAACTTAAATGACCAAAAATTGAAAATATATTTTGATATATGTTCAAAAGAATTTTTTTTGTTAACCATCTCATGATACAATTGTAAATTTATTTATCTAAAAGGTATAATGATGCCCATCTATAATATTTAATAGTGTCCAATAAAAAAAATAATATAATCTCAAACAAAATTTCCAAATCAAGGGGGATCCATGAACACCCATTATCTCAATGTAAAATCGCCTTTGCTTATGCTACACCAAAACCTCTTCAAAGGGGTCATCGAGCTAAATGTAGTCTTTTGGATTTAGGTTATTATGGTAAACTGATATTTGATTTTTTTTTTTTTAATTTTTTTTTTCTGGACAGAATTGGTTGCCAAGAAGGGTGATGAGTGCATGGAGAATAGCTGGAATATTACATGGCTTAGAAGGATGGAATGTGAATGAATGTGGGAATGAGATGTTCAACATTGATAAAATTTGGCAAGCAAGTCTTCTACATGGCTTTACTCCTCTGACCACATCATTTAATTAAAACTTGGAACCTATCAGTTTGATGTTTTGAGGGTATAAATTTAAAGCTACTCTTATCTTTGTTAAACATATATACTGTCGTTGATAATATGTACTCCGGAATTTTTTATCCTCTAATATTAGTTTTATATATATGTTATGAATTTTTGTTAATTTTATGTTGAAAATACCTTTAGTATTTGACAAACTGAACTTTAAATGTTGAAGGATATGTTTTGTATAATATTGCTATTTGTGGGTAGAGTGTATAAATTGTATGCAGGTGATATAATTCGGGTTAATGCGCGGATCTTAGATGCTTTATGGGTCGGTCAAGTATCCGAAGTATTTAAGAGAAGAAGCTTAGTCATTTTGTATCAGTTGATCAGATCTAGATATTTTTCATCTTCTTTTCTCTCTCGGTATCTGTTAGGGTTTCTCTCATAGAAGTTCATAGTTTCATTAGATCTTGTTATTGGGTTTTCATCCGAGTGTGAGTGTTATTGTAGTGAGGTTTTTTGATGTAAGTTGATGTATAATCGAACTGGTTTATATTAAATAAACTGTTCAAGTTGGGAAGTTCGTGTGTTTGAGTTTTTATCATGGTATCAGAGCTCTCAGGCTCCGATTTGTTGTTGCAGACGCTCGATTGTGGTTTTCATCATCAGATCGTCAATCTAAGAACGGTACTTTTCTGATTCTTCTTGTGAAGATCATTTCTGTTCTTTATAGATTTTTTGTATGTTTTTTTTTTGTTCAAGATCCTGGTACTGCGAGAATGTTTTGATTCTTGCAGGTAACAAGTAAAGGTGAAACAAACGCTTGTGATATTAGCGCTTCGCTTCTGTTGATCTTCAAAGTTATCATAATCGATTAATCTCTACTCCGAAATAACTCTCTAGGGGTCGGATTTGATCACCGATAAACCCTAGTAGAGAACGGACTTAGAGAGTCGATTCTTCTTGGTTGCTTCCAACTCACTGTGAGGACTGTTTTGTTCCTTTTTTCTATATTGATTGGTAATATTGTTCTGGTTGGGAATCTGTGACTGTATTGTGCACACCATTGTCTGGTTCTTGCATTATATGTTTTCTTGTTTGTTCTTTGACACTGTACTGATTGTCTTGGGCCCTAACATACCTGGTGACCATCTGGACATTAGATCAGTACTGTTGTCTCCTGTTTGTGGTATTATTTGTTGTTTTTTACTTTGTTTTTTAAATGGCCGGAGACACTACTTCGAGTGGTGATTCTGGTTCTATACCTAGTGGAAGTGGAAAGGATGAGTCAATTAATTTTGATGATCCTCTCTACATTCATCCATCTGATAATGCTATTACTTCAATAGTTACTACAAAATTAACTGGAAATGAAAATTTTCGATTATGGAAGAGTTATATTTCTAGAGCTCTCAAAGCTAGGAATAAACTTGGATTTATTGATGGTACTCTTAAGAAAACTAGTGTTGATGAGTCAAAAAAATCTAAGTGGGATAGGGCTAATGCTGTTGTATGTTCCTGACTTTTATCTTCTATTTCTGATTCTATATATCAGAGTCAAGCTTACTCTGAGGTAGCTGAGGATATTTGGAATAATTTGTTTGAAACTTATAATAAGTCAGATGGATCTGTGGTGTTTAATATACATCAACAAATTAATACACTTAAACAAAATGGAATTTCTTTGTCTGACTATTTTAATAAACTTGATTCCTTGTGGAAGGAATTTGATGGTCTTACTAGCTTGACTGAGTGTACTTGTGAAGCTGCTATCAAATTGAAAGATCATTCTAATCTCATGAAACTTATGCAGTTTTTGTCTGGGCTTGATGAGTCCTATAGTCAAGTAAAAAGTCATATTTTGTTAATGGAACCTTTACCTAATGTTAAAACTGCATTTTCTATTCTTTCAAGAGAAGAATCTATTCAAAGAAATGGATCCTTGTCTTCTCTTCAGTCTTCACAGTCCTTTTCTAAGTCTCAACCTGCTGCTTTTAATAGCAGGTTTAATAACAAATCTGGGATTAATAACACTAATAAAAACAAAACTCAATCTGTTCAGTGTAAAAATTGTGGAATTAAAGGTCATACAATTGATAAGTGTTATAAGCTAATTGGTTATCCCAAGGATTTTAAGTCAAGGAATGAGTCTAGTAATCAGAATAGCTTTAATAAAAATGTTTCTGCCAATTCCTCTACTACTACTTCTGGTAATGCTATTCCTTCTAGTACTCCTGATTCTAGTAGGGATTCAGAATTTCATCAGCTCACCAAGGAACAATACTTCAAATTTTTACAACTTATTGGTGATAGACAGCTTAATGAGGAAACTTCTGCCAGTGTTAATATGGCAGGTACTTGTTTGTTTCAAGCCTTTAATTCCTCTGTTAGTCCTCTAAAGTGGATTGTTGATTCTGGAGCTAATCAACATATAATTGCTTCTGAGTCTCTTCTTCATGAAACTGTGGATGTGTCTAAATTAGATCTTCTGGTTAGCCATCCTAATGGTACTTCAGCTAAAATTGAAAAAATTGGAAATTTGAATTTGTCTAATTCTTTGACTCTTTTTGATGTTTTTGCTGTTCCTGATTTTAATGTTAACTTGTTGTCTGTTCATAAGGTTTGTAAAGACAGTAATTGCGAGGTTGTTTTTAATGAACATAGTTGTAAAATTCAGGGTTTACAATCAAAGGAGATGGTGTGGAATGGTAGAGAATCTGAGGGTCTCTATTACATCAATAGTGAACCTTCAGGTAATTCATGTAGTTATAGTCATTATGTTTCTGTGTGTTGTGTATCAAAATTAACTTGGCATAATAGACTTGGTCATCCTTCTGATCAAGCCCTAGGATCTCTAAGAACTCAATTAAATTTTGGTAATGAAGTACTGCCACCCTGTGATGTATGTCATAAGGCTAAGCAAACTCGGGAGTCATTTCCTGCTAGTCAACATGTTATTACTAAACTGGGTGAGTTAATACATTTGGATGTTTGGGGACCTTATAGAGTGACAACCTCAGAAGGATTTAGGTATTTTTTAACCATAGTTGATGATTATTCTAGAGCTACATGGGTTTATTTGTTGAAATCAAAAGATGAAGTTTATGGTTGTGTTCTTGTTTTCTTTAATATTTTGTTTAATCAATTTGGAGTTAAAATTAAAACAGTTAGGTCAGACAATGGAACTGAGTTTTTGAATTTTAAAATGAGACAATTGTTTGAGTCTAAAGGTATTTTGCATCAAACTTCATGTGTTCACACTCCACAACAAAATGGAGTGGTTGAAAGAAAACATAGAAATATTCTTAATGTTGCTAGGTCTTTGATGTTTCAATCTGGGTTACCTTTAAAATGTTGGGGAGAGGCAATTCTAACTGCTGTTTTTTTAATTAATAGAACTCCTACATCTGTTTTACATGGTTCTTCTCCTTATGAGTTGGTTTATAAAACTGCTCCTGTTTTTGATAGACTTAGGGTTTTTGGTTGTTTATGTTTTGCAACAAAGTTAAATAATTCTGACAAGTTTTCTGAAAGAGCTGATAAGTGTATATTTCTTGGTTATGCTTTTGATAAAAAAGGTTATAAAGTGTTAAGTCTTGATACAAATCTTATTTTTGTTTCCAGGGATATAAAATTCTATGAGTCTGTTTTTCCTTTCAAGCTAAAGCATTCATCTTTAACAGATAAATCTAATGTTGTTTTGAATGATCCTTTTTCCTATGATGAGTTAATATCTTCTAGTTTTTTACTAGACAATACTAATTTAGATGAATTGAGAGGTGCCCATCAGTTGAGTGGTGTTGATGCAGACCATAACTTGGATGAGACTTTTTCTTTTGATGTCAGCAACCAGTCTGGTGAGGCAGATGTGCCCTCATCTGATGAGGTGGTTCCAAATTCTTCTTTATTGACTGAGGAAAATGTTTTAATTAATACTAGTCCTTCTGAAGAACAGTCCTCTAGGGTCACAAGGTCAGGACGTAGTGTTCATATGCCTCTTAGATTTAGTGATTATGTTGTGGAAGGAAAACATAAATATGGTATAGAAAGATCTGTCAATTACTCAGCTTTAAATTCTGAAAATTATTGCTTTGTTGCTAATCTTAATAAAATAGTAGAACCTAAAACTTACAGTGAAGCAGTTTTAGATCCTAAATGGATAAAAGCAATGAATGAAGAAATGGAAGCTCTATATAGGAATAATACTTGGGAAATTGTAGATCTTCCCAAGGGAAGAAAAGCTATTGGTTGTCGGTGGATTTATAAAATTAAATATAAGTCAAATGGAGAAATTGAAAGGTATAAAGCTAGGTTAGTTGCTGCTAAAGGGTACAGTCAAAGAGAAGGTATAGATTATGAGGAAACTTTCTCTCCTGTTGCTAAAATTGTTACTGTCAGAATTTGTTTAACTTTAGCTATTCATCATGCATGACCTTTATATCAATTGGATATAAATAATGCATTTTTATATGGTGATTTGTCTAAAAATGTTTACATGCAACTTCCTGAAGGATATCATTCAAAAAAGATAATAGAGTTTGTAGATTAATTAAATCACTTTATGGACTTAAACAAGCACCTAGGAAATGGAATGAGAAGTTGAGTTCTTCCCTTTCTTCATTTGGTTTTGAACAAAGTATTAATGATTATTCATTATTTGTTAAAAGAGTAAAACATGTTATAGTTATTTTGTTGGTTTATGTGGATGATATTATTATCACTGGAAATTGTAAAGATGAATTAGAAAATGTTAAATGTTTTTTAAAATCTCAATTTTTGATAAAAGATTTAGGAGAGTTGAAATATTTTCTTGGAATTGAAGTAATTAGAACAGATCAGGGTATTTGCCTAAATCAAAAGAAATATTGTTTGGAATTGTTACAAGAGTTTGGTATGCTTGCTTGTAAACCTGTTAAAACACCTTTGGAACCTAATCTTGTTATTAAGAAAGAATGTGATCTAGATCCTTCTGATTATGTGGTAAATATTACAGAATTTCAAAAATTAATTGGTAAACTGATCTATCTAACTATGACAAGACCTGATATTTCATATGTTGTTCAAATTTTAAGTCAGTACATGCATAAACCTTATAAATCTCATGTGAATATAGCTTTAAGAT